TACAAGAATGAGAACGATATGCCGCTTATTATGGATCAGGGATAACTTTCGACCTGACCATGTACTTACGCTCTGTTACTGTTTAACAGTGTATGCTTAATTGCCTTTGTTACCTTTGTTGATGATGCAATAGACCTACGTGAATTGCCCTGTGTCGACCGCGTGCCGATTTGAGGTTATCCGGCTCGAAGGACCATCATGTTCAAGCCACCTTGGCTGAACTGTTTTGTGTATTGTAAAGAATGGATAACCTCGTGTTTAATTTTGCATTTTAGTTTATTGTGGCTATCGGCTCTACACAGGACCAACTTAATCGTGTAAAATCTTGCTTTCGTCCTAACGCCGTGGTTCACTCGCCGCCATATCTCACGGCACAACTTTCTTCCTAAGAAGACAAAAAAACGAAGCGCACGCTGCGCGTACCATCATGCGCAACGCAAAGCGCGCCAAACAAAAATGATCCGAATCGGTTATAATGTAATCGCCTACGGTTTACGAAGGATCTCAACAGGATCTCGATAGCGATCCTAACACTTAGCTTAGCTAATTGTTTTGGTGATACGTAATCTCAAATAACCTAAACCTTAACCTGAACCTGAACGCTATATTAAACATCAAAACGTTAGCTACTGGCATATTGCACGCATTAATTTGATGATAACTTTACACTGGAGACAACAGCTATCCAAAACAGCTCCAGATGAGGTTAAATAATATAACCGGATGGCAAGAATAAAAGAATATCGAGCGCTCGTGCTTCCCTTCCACTTCGACTTGCGATGGGCCGCTTTATATTACTGTATAGTATACAATGGGAAACTAACTTCCCCATTATTCCGACAATTTAGCCTAACGTACAAAAAATAAATTAATGTATAGCAAAATAAACATTAGTTTCGATATAAGAAAACAATCCGTTACGATAAACTCACCAGTGCCATATCCGTCCAAACTTGAGTTACGATCTCTGCATGTTTGCCTGACAGGCGACACAAACGAAGTCTCAAGAAGATCATGTTGCAGTTAAATTAACCTAACTCTTCGGATAGATAATTGCAAATAAAAGAATATGAAGCGCTTTCGATTTCCTTTCACGTCGACTTGCAATCGTCTTTGTATGACTGTACAGTATACAAGGGGGATGTTAATTGTTGTTTAATGATGCAAGGCTCTTGTGAAATCACAATGCTTTATTGCTCTGGTGAGCTACAACCTTCGTACTACGTACTACTTGCTACTACTACTGACGCTCGCTTCCGCATGACGACGGACCCTCTTTTTCGTAAAGGAGGGGGGAACTCGACTTGCGCATACGCTTCTTATAGTAACGGCACCGCCTTACGCTTAAATGCGGATATTTCCCTAACGAAACTACATTCTTAACACTAACTAAACTATATTCTTAACAGCTCGGCCCCCTTGAAAGGTTTCTTTCAACATACAATATCTCTCGGCCGAGTATTGAGATTATCGTCCATAGGAAGCACGCAAACACTACGCGCCGATCGCTTAAATTGTCCTTGAGCGGTTTTTACTGAGACCACTCTAACTACACCATCTCTTCCTGGATGCACGCTAATAATTCGACCAATGTGCCATTGAAGGGGTGGTGTTTGTGTTTTCCTTAAAAGGACCATTCCTTCCTGTAGATTACTATCTCCCTCGGTCCACTTGCTTCTGCGCTGCATCTCAGTCAAACATTCTCGATGCCAGCGATGCCAGAAATCCTGTCGCACCTTTAGTATATGTCTCCAGTGACCAATGCGATTTTCTGGTATATCTGCGTAATCTCCTTCTACCGGCTGTAACAAAAATTCTCCAACGAGGAAGTGAGAAGGAGTTAGGACTGATAAATCTTGGGGATCGTTCGAGCAAGGAGTTAAGGGTCGGGAATTCATGACTGCTTCAATCCCAACAAGAAGAGTATAACACTCTTCGAATGTCAACACAAGACCCTTAGTTACTGCATTGAAA